GAAGCAGCCTACACTGTCCCAGGACCTTCCAGCCCTACCCTCCCTGATTCTTCCAATCTCCATTACGCCATCTGCTTCTTGCTGAGCCCGCTCAGGGTTGGCTTCCCTTCCAAGCTGCTCCAGGGCCTTGAGACTCCAGCCCAGGCGGTCACAAGACTGAAGCTTCACAGCTTCCCCAGCTGTGCTCCACTGAGCAGGGCGAACTCCATTTCCAGTCCCTCGGGGGACAGGGAATGAGTCACAGAGCTGGGATCCTGAGCCCTCACTCTCTCCCACACCAGACAGAGGAGGCCACTTTCTACTTGACTCCTGGAGAGTGAACAATGCCTCCCTCTGCTCCCAGCCTGGAGCTCCTGGGACACACACCCAGTGGGACGAAGCACCCAGCAGCACAGGTCCATATTCAGGGGACTGAGCCAGAGGCAAGAAACTAGGATCGGACTGCCTGCGCTTGTCGCATTAGCAGGTGATGTTGGGATGTTCGTGCCTAGTCTGCCTTGGAACAAGTGGATCTTAGGGCAGAAGAATGACTGGAACCTGGTACCAGATATACCTCATCTGGAGTGCAAGGTCAAGTCCACACAGACTCTCAGCCCCAACAACCCAACACCTTTCCTTGGCAAGACAGGGCAGATCATCCAGACTGGCTATGGTTTGAATATGGTTGATCCCACCCACTGCCCAAAATCATGCAGGAGTTTAATACCCAAAGCCATGCATTAATGGCTCTTAAGAGGATGGAAACTTAATCTGACTGTGGTGTTTGGAAGTGAAACCTTTGGGAGGTGACAAGGTTTAGGTAAGTTCATTAGAGTGAGGTCCCATAACTGAATCCTAGTGACTTTATAAGAAGAGGGACAGAAACCGGACACACAAAGTCATGCGTACTCCTTGTCTCTTCCCATGTAATGCAAGAGCTTGGGAACAACAGAGCATGCAACCTGCTGTTTGGACTTTCAGCCTCCAAAACCATGAGCTAAATAAACCTCTTTTCTTTATAAAGTCAGCCTGCCTCAGGTATTTCATTACAGTAATAAAAAGAAATTAATAAAGGACCCTGCCTACAAAATAAACTGCTGAGGCTGGGCACCAGCAAAAGACCTGTAAATACAAAGACGTGCAGTGTTTTTCAAGGGGTCTATGTCTCTAGCTTAGGGGAGAGGTGGGAAAAAGGTCTCTACTCTTCCTCCCCTGCCAGGAAAAGCTCTCAAACCTTTGGGGAGCATTGGTAGAAAGTTGAGGGCCATTCAGAGCAGGCTGCCCAAGGCAGGCAAGGACACTTCACCAGAAAGCCTAATGATGAAGCCCACAATACATCCCTGGGCCGGGGCTCAAGGCAGCATCCCTCAAGGACTGTCATTCCCTAGGCTTCCAGCAGCGGCAGTGAAGCAGCTTTCTTTTCCCTCCGAGAAGCTCAACTGCCGCTTGCAACTCATTTCTTCCAGATCTATCTAGGCAGCACTAGGCAAGGTTTTCAAGTTACCAATTCCTAAGGGTCAACTATCCCCAGCAGGGAGACTGGGAGCCCAGGACAAGAAGGACATTGCTTGGGCTCTCATGTCACCTGGCCCAGGTGTCAATGCACCAGGCTCTTTGACACAAGCCCATGAGATCAGCTGAGACTGCCTTGGAGTGAACAAAGGCTTTGGGCTTGTACTCCTGGAAATTCTTATCAGACTCTTTGCAAGACCTCTCTACAGATCCCCAAACAGCACTAGAAGGGTTGGCTCAGCTACTGATCACACACAGTCTCCAGGGGAGCATCTGGAGGAGACAGAGGTCTACCAGAGGGCTGGCCACAGCAGTGGATGACCTCCCTCCCAAGACAGGTTCCTTTCTTCAGGTGAGTTTTGGCCTAAGAATGTGCAGCCTCCCCTTTCTCTCAAATTGCATGTGTTCTGCCCGGGACACACCACCTAATGAGTACCAACAGGCATGAGAAAGGGGGTCATGAAAGTCCTGGAGAAAAGCCATTTGCCTGGAACTGTGGGATTGTGTCAGCCATACCACACCATCCATGAGAAACAGGAGGCTGTGCAAAGCCGCCCCATGTGCTTGTAAGAACTGTGCATCTGTCAATCGAATAAGATGAGCCCAGGGCACCACCAGGGCCCTCCAAGCCCAAAGAGGGAAGACAAAGCCACAGATGCAGGAACACTGTGGCCGGCCATCTGTGCATGATAAAGACACACAGAAGATAGCCAGCTCCAGGAACAGAATCTCTGCTAGAAACGGGAACCAAAGGGGATGAATCTCTACATCACATGATCATGAGGACCCAGACTCTGGCTCGGCTGGGTGAACAGCAATTTCCATTTCAGCGAGATGAAAAGTCCATCTGTGCATTGTTGAAACTTGCACTGAAAACCACCAGAGACCCATCAAGGGGGAAAGATACGATTTTCTTGGACCCCTGGATCCTGGGCACCACCCAATGACTAGAAGCAGCAGGGACAGAGCAGAGCTGGAGGCTATGCTTTACTAAAGTAGATGGAGACACAGCTGTCCCCGACTCTGTCCAGCTGGGAACCTCAGGGCATGGGGACGTGGAGGGAGCAGTTAGAGCTGGGTGCAGGAGAGCAGCTGGGTGAAATTATGAAACCTGCCCTGCCTTATCAGGGAGCCAGGGAGGTCGTTTAAAAATGCAAATCTGATCACACTGCTGCCCTGCCACGGGGCTTCTGGACACACTTCAAAGAAAGCTAGAGGAGCCAGTGGCCAAAGCTGTAGCAATCTGCACAATAAAATGTAGTACTGGATTATAGCCCGAAGTATTAGATACATGCCCATGAGTCCACACTGATATAAATAAATGATTGAATAAATAAATGGAGAAGAAGAAAAAAATTCATGCACAGGAACTATAAATAATTCAGGTAGGTGTTCCTCCCTAACAGAGAGGCATAGCTCCCCGAGCAGACATGGGACTACATACAGTCACTTGTCCAGGGACTGCAGGATGGGGAAGGGGAATCGAGCAGAGAAACCCACAGACACCACCTCAGCCCAGCAACCCAGATCAACACCAACAGCTATAAGTCCCACTGATCGGCAGGGGCCCCATTAGGATGTGATAAAATGGCACTTTGCCCTGTGCTCTTCCTCCCGAAACTCATAACCCCAGGCTAAGCATGAGAACAACATCAGACGAGGAGCCTCCTACCAGACAGGCACTGCTCGAAACTGTGAAAGCAGGAGAACAAAGGCAAGTCTGCAGAACTGCCACAGCCAAGAGGCACCTAAGGAGACTAAATGGCACATGGGATGTGGTGTCTTAGAGGATAGCCCGGAACAGAGAAAGGATATTAGAAAGAAAAGGAAATCATTAAGATAATGTATCAGTATGTGTTCATTTAATTGTACCAAATTACCACATTTTTGTTAAAATGTTAACAGAGGAAATCACGTACCTGGATAAAGAGGAACTTTCCACACTATCTTCTCCGTTATTTTCCATAAACCTAAATTGTACTTTGAAAAATTAATTTTTTTTTCCCGGTACCGGGAATCGAACTCACGACCTTGCACTTGCCAGGCAGGCGCTATGCCGCTGAGCTAAATCCCCAGCCCCTGAAAAATTAATTTTAAAAAACTCCTACCAAAGGAAACAAAAACTGAGCCCCTAATCCTTACCACGGTCCACCATATCCAAGGGCCTGGCCCTGCACGCTGGGCCACCTTTACTCCCTCCCTCTCCCGGCTCCAGCCACAATGCAGGCATCTTCAGTTTGACATCCCTGTCCAAGCTTCTCTGTTCTCAGGGCCCTCACACAGGCTATTCCTCCCCCTGACAACATCTACTCTCTCCCCAGAGGCCTTAGTCCAGGTCTACTTAGACATCGCATTCTCCAGAGCCTCCCTAGCTGTTCAGGCTAAGTGAGGCGCCGGTTCCGACCACCCAGCTGCTCTCTTGCACCCAGCTCTAACTGCTCCCTCCAGGTCTATCTTCTCCAGTGGACTACAAAGTTCCACGCAGGCAGGGCAGTGAACACTTTCTGGATGTCTGTGTCCTTCCCTAGCATAGTGCTGGGTCCAGAGCAGCCCAGGTCCATGCTGGTGAGCATTCACATACATAAATGAATGAGATTCAGAAGCCACCCAAGCAGAGAATAGGAAATAAACAGCCCAGGGGAGAATCGCCTAGGCCACTCTGTGTGAGCAACTAGGAGCTTGGAGTCAGGTGACTTCGTCAAAGAAGGACCTGGAGCACTAGCCTGGGTACCACTCATCTGCTGGAGCCAAGGGGAACCAGTGATGTTCTCTGTACCCTCAGACTGCACAGCGAAACATCTGGAGCATTGAATTCCTTTAGACTTCATCAAAAATTGACTCTGGTCAGGTGTGGTGGCATATGTCTGTAATCCCAGCACTAGGGGGCTGAGGAAGGGCGATTGCTGTGTGCTCCAGGCCACCCTGGGCTAAGGCCAGCCTGAACGGCATAGCATACCAAGACCAAAAAAAAAAAAAATTGACTCTAACCCTTCCCTTTTTTCTTTTTTAAATTGAAGTATAATTTACATAAAGCAAGACAGTAAAGTTCACTCTTTTTAAGTAGAGTTGCACAGATTTTGACAAAGATGTATAGTCATGTAACCACAACACGACTAAGATACAGGACACTGCCATCACCTAAGATCCCTCCCTCCCAATCACAGGCAGTGCCCTCTTTCAACTCCCCACCCTTGCAACCGCTGACCGGCTGCCCATTCCTTACAGTTCCGCCTTTTTTGCAGAACATCATGTAAATGGAACCCTATGAAACAAGCAGTCAGACACAGACCACGCTCTGGAGAGTCCTGCCTCACAAAATACATCCCACTGGCACATGAAGAGCCAGCTGCCAAGGGCAAGCCTCGTACAATCATCAACATGGCATCACAGGACTATGTTCTCAGGGCCTCACTGCCGCCCTCCTAAATGCAGCTCCCTCGGCTCAGGACAGAGACTATCCAATCCCTGCTCTCCACGGCAGCTGTTACAGAGGGGGGCTAGTACAGTACCTGCTTATAAGCTTGGTCTGATCCTGCCAAGAGGCAATGCCAACATCTACTCCATGACCAGCTGGGACGGAAGGCGAAGTCGTGTGTCCTGGGGCCGGAGGAGTAAGGCCCGCACGGGCAGCAGCTGGGGAGGTGCTGGGGACACAACAGGAGCATTATTCCAAATGGAACTTGGCTCATTAACGGTACATTCATCAGGCCCCACTCACCGTACCAGCCCTCCCACACACAGCGAAAGGGCTATTTAAAGACCTAGCACACTGCTCCTCTGGGCTGCCATCCGGGCCTCTGCACACACCCAGTGGAAGCCGTGGCCTGTAGTGCCAGACCAGGCCCTCAAGTTCCTTTCTCACTGCCTTCCAGCAAAGCCAGGTTTTATTGACAGCTCAGACAATCAAGATCCTCCATGTGAGTCTTTCTGCTTTTTTGTTCAGAGGAGAGGATTTTTGTAGGATGATTTTTTTTTAATAATTTTGAATGGACAATGAAACTCCATTGAGATCTAAAACACAACTTTGCAAACTCTCTAGGATTTGCCCCAGAAAGCAGAAGCTGAGAAAAGTCTAGGCTGATGAGTAGCCAAGGAACCTGGCTGGGACATGGTAACACAAACCACCCCTTCACCCCTGGATTTCCAAAGCCTGGAGCCTTGTGTGGTGGGTGAATGCCCCCTCCTGGACATACAAGAAACCTCCAGCACGCAGCCCTGGGAACACACTCCCCAGATCCAAAAGGCACAGGCCTAGAGTTCCACAGAGGTTCTGATCTTCTCCTTTGGCGAAAAGCAAGACTAGAAAAGCCATCCACAGCATGGAAGCAGTTTCAAAGGCAGCCGTCCATGCTGCCTACCCCAGGGTGCTGCTCAGCTGTCAGCTGGAGGTCAGGCTGGAATTACATGACTCAGCAGAGGGCCTGAAATCTGGCTGCAGGTGACAGCTGGGGTTTGAGGTGCCCCTGCCCTTGGGGTGCAGGATCATTTCTTCTCTCCAGGGGTAAACACCCACAGGAGCAGGGGTTTTATGTCACTATGTCCTGCTCACTACCAGCTTCTACCCCTCAACCTGGAAGGGGAATTTCACTCTCAGCCCAAATCCTGAAAGACCAGCCTTGCACTCACCTTCTCTCCCGTCCCTTTGTAGCTCTGCCCTGACCAGCCTGGGCTCCTCCAGCTCCCAGCACCCACTGCCTCCTTGGCTGGAGACCCTTTCCTGAGACAGACCTATGGGTACAGGGGCCACGTCTATCTCATTCTCCTCAGTGACTCAACATCCTGCCAGGTCACTCACAGGAGGCATAGCCGCACAGGCAAGTTGCAAGCCCACAAGTATCCTAAAGGCTGTGCCCGAGTGTCAGGAGCAGAGCCTGAGCTGGAACCCACACTGTCGGCTCCCTTGGGGCTCCACGGAACTGCAGAAAAACCAGAGGTCCAGAGAGCACCTTTTGCAGTGGATTCTGAGCAATCCACAGTGAACACAGACTACACTGGCAAGAAGCCCACAGAAGCATAACGCGGTTTACAGGTGCAGAGACAACCTTGGTTGTCAGGCTGTTACTTGTAACAAGCTGAACAGTGGTTGAAATTATTTATTTCACAAAAGAACGCCTCAAAACAAATAATGCAAACCACTGGAAGCTGTTTCTCTGGAAGCCAACTTCATTCATCCTGAAGTCAGTGAATAGCCTACTCATCCTGGCCCTGCTCCTCTCTCCACTCATACACTTTGCACTAAGACTTAATTTAATTTAATGCACATGGGGACAGGTATATTGTTTATGTTGTGGTTGTGCTATATTTTAAAGTACAACTTTTTGTTTTGTTTTGTTTTCTTTGTTTTTTTCCGGGACCGGGAATCGAACTCACAACCTTGAGCTTGCCAGGCAGGCGCTGTGCCACTGAACTAAATCCCCAGCCCCAAAGTACAACATTTTGCGTGTGTAGTACGGGAGAGGGAACCCAGCAGGGGCTCTAGCACTGAGCTCCAACCTTGGCCTTCCTTTTCCTTTTTGAAACAAGGTCACAGTAAGTTGCCCAGTCTGGCCTCCAACTCATGATCCTCCTACTTCAGCCTCCCAAGTACCTGGGATTACAGGTTTGTGCCACAGGATTGTGCCCATCAAGGGTACTAATCCTTATCGGACTACAAGGAACAATCTCTGTCTCTGAAATACTGGCAGAGGGGCAGACTGCTTTAGGTCTGTGGCCTCATGACAGCCACCAGCCCCAGGATCTGATGAAGACACGGCCGAACTACAAATCCATTGCCACCACTCCCCTGAGAGCACCCTGAGCAGCACCACTGAGGCTCACCCACGACCACGCTGCCCTCGGCTCAGCAGCCTGGCCGCCCCAGCTGTCCTAGAAACCAGTGCTGTTCCTGCGGGGCCGCCCCGCTGCTCCCTCCTCCCTTCCCTCTGTTGGCCCTGGACCAGTGCAGCCACACCCTTCCGGCCCTGGCCTGGTCCCATTAGCCAAAGAAACTAAACAATGACTCAACAGCCCAATTAAGAATGGTGCCTCCCTCCCTCTACAGCCTGCTCTCGGCCTGTGCCCAGTGGCCAAGGAGGTCAGGTCCCAACAGGGAAATGCAGTGATTCATGACCAAGTCTAATGCACGGGCACCCAGGACACCTGGGTCCCCAAAGAACTCCTCAGTTTCCTCCTGATGCTCCTCCTCCTCCGGTGTTCCCTGCTAGCCAGGCCACAGCACCAGAAGTCAGGACATCTGGACTCTTAGTATTCTCTCACCCCAGAGCCCCTCATCACCTCTTTCTGCTGAGTCACCTCCTTCTTCCGGACTCTGTCTTCTCTGTCTGGCCCCCTCTGTTGCTCCAGGCCTTACCTTCTTGGAGCAAAAGGCCTGTGGCATCCTGTTAGGTCCCCCTCTCGTTTTGTTCCCTCAGGTCCGTGTCACCACTGCTACCTGAATGATCCATCTCATATTCTGGTCAAGTCTTCCCTTGCCTAAAATCCTCTCCAACGTCTCACAGCCGCTGGAGTGCAGGAAAAGCCCCACCCACAGGCAGACTCCTCGGGCCAGTTCTGAAGCACCCGCTGCTCCTGCTCTTACCCCACCCAGCAGACAGGCCCCTCAGACACTGTGCAGTGCCCTTCTCAGGCTGGGCGCCACCTACAAGGCCCCTGCCTCCCTCTGCCAAAGCGGGAAGGTGCCACCTGGCACCAGCAGGCTGAGCTGGGCCTCCAATCTATGAGCATCCCACTTTTTTCCTGAACACATCCTACTCCCTGCTAGGCCACACACTGTGCGCAAGCATGAGGCTCAGCTACTGGGGGTCTCCAGGCCCTAGCATAAAACACAGCGGTGCTCCACAGTGGCAAGCCCTTCCCTTCTATCCCTTGGCCTCCAAAATCACAGGTCACTGGCAGTGGACAGTTGTCCTACGTTTTGGGCAGGCCAGAGCCTATGTACAGCAGAACCAGTAACACAATTTGAAAGCAAGACGGAACACAGATGAAAGCGAAGGTCACCGCAGGGCCCATATTCTAAAAGAGCCTGCAGCTCCAAAGCAGAAATGGTAGAGAACTGAGCCAGGCACAAGGTGCTTCTGAGTGTGGCATGTTTGGTGGCTGCCCAACTCACACAGGAACCTGGACCTGAGGAAAAGCTAAATGGGGCCCTCCTTCCTCCCCTTCAACTGCGGAAGGCACAGCTGCTCCAACAGAAACCGACAATAAAGGTCCCTCATCAACACCTTTGGGCAGCCCCGTCTCTGCTCAAGTCCCCTGTAAGCAGCCGTGACAGTTTAAAGACATTATTCTCAGGAAAGCAGGCCCATCTTAGAGACATCTTAGAGATAGTACACAGTCCCATTCCCACCCCACGAAGGACCTCGCCAACAGCTGCGAAATCCGGCACGGACAAAGCAGAGCGCTGAGGTGGGCTCCTCACACTGTGTTCTCCTGTCACCTCTAGGAGCCGTCCGTCACACTGTCTGAAACTGGCGCTGAGGTGTGCAAATGCCCTTCTAGTTGTAAGTGTCCCAATCCCTTTTCTCATTTAAGGTGTTAAAGTTAAAGTTAAAGTTCTCATAAAGGTGTTAAAGTTAAAGTTAAAGTTATCCGATTGGCAGGGTACCAGGACTCAAACTCAGGACCTTGCGCTTGCCAGGCAGGCACTGTACCGCTGAGCTACATCTCTGGCCCTCCAACCTTTATTACAATAAGAAAGTAGCTGCATTCAAATTCATGTAGAGTGTTTATATTTTTGGTAGCTAAAGGAAATGTTAACTTATAGTTCTTTTCCTTCTTTTTAGGACAGGGTAGACAAATAGAAGCTAAACCACCGCACACTGTTAGCAGACACATGACTGATCCATCATGGCGTTCCTTCTGGATAAGCCCTGCTGCACGAGACCGGAGAATCCTTTTCAATACAGAACCCTAGGGAGCCACTCCCAGGGGGTCAGTTTGCCAGCCCTGATTTAGGGCCTTGCCCAGGTCCTCACAAACAATTGGCTCCACCAGTCACTCCACTGGGTCACAGTCTACACCCACACATAACAGAGAGTGTCACTCCAAGGCTTGCCTTCTGCTCGAGGCCCTACAAGTACAGCTGCGGGAAGACACTGTCAGCTGTGGGTGTCCTTTGATTCTCTGCTCAGGGCTTTTGAGTCCTTCCTGGCAGGGTTCCCACTGAACTAACAGCAGATTTTATTTCAAAGATCAGCCGGAGCGGCCAAGTTAAGCCCTGTCCATGGACAGACACCAGAGTGGCCCAGGCTGTCACAGGAGGGTGATAACGGCCCCCAAGGTGCAAGTTGAACATATCACGCCCTTTTGAGCCAGATGGCTGCAGCATCTTATCTGCTATTTCATATCACCACCTGGAAAGCATTTAGCACAACGGCCCTTCCTCACAGGCCTCTGCTTTTTCCTTCTTCAATCCCCACTCGTACACGATCACATAACAGGGTGAGCGAGCGAAAGGCCAGGGACACCGCTCAGCCTGAAAGGGTAAAGCAGGCTGGAAAAAGGCAAGTACCCTGAAATTGCTGGTTTGGAGAGCAGGGGGCAAGCGGTTTGATGGAAGCCTGAAACTTGGTAAAACGCGTCTCAGTACCAGGCGATAGGACAAACATCTGTGAGCTGTGGCCACTGGAACACTATAAAGAAGGTG